ACCCAAGGATAAAGAGACACCTTATCCTGTACCTCTACACCTTATCTCATACCCTGTGATAGATAGCGTCATGGTCCTGCAGGAAGCTGGAAGGTCCCCATAGCCACAAACAAACAGAACTCTGCAGCACCCACCATCTTTGTGTGAAGCTTATCACAGAATGGAAAAAAGTTTATAAATACAAATTTTCTGATTCATGAACACTTTGGCTGGTTCTTCTTGTTTATGCTGTCTTTAATTCAGGCAATGATATTTAAAGCAGAATTTTAGACTATGAAATTGATTAAGCTTGCTAATCTCAGGTTGCTATCATCAACTGCTGACTCATGCAACTGTATATATATTCCCAGTGCTTGAGAGATAAGCTTCACACTCCTTTAGAAATCATTAGTCATGATGTTTCTCTGAGGACAGAACATTTAGTAAAACATTCATTTGCTTGGCATGTCAATTACAGAGCTTCAAGTAGCAATACTGCTGCTAAGTATGTTTCTAAATATGTTTGTGGGGTTCTTCCCTTTCATGGAAGTTTTCAGGTTCAGGGATTCTCCTATTCCTATCTTTTTAAAAATCATTACAATAAATCCATTTTATGAATTTCACAGTATACAAAAATGAGTAGTCCTGCAACACTGAACATGTTAAAAAATGGGATTTTTCTTATAAAAAGGCTCAGAAGTTTTATTTCATCTTCATCCTGTGCTTCAAGAAGACTCATTTTATTTGTGGGGACAGAATTTGGTCTTTTGTATTTCCAACAGATACATTCTGTTATGCAATGCACTGACTAGGTAAGCACTTAAGTGTTAATCAATTTGTTTAAATGACACTAGGGGGACACATCATCCCTAAAACACTTGTTTTGATAGAGACTGGAAGAAAATAAGCTGAAATGATGGTCCCTTTATTTCCTACAATCAGAAGGCTATTAAACTCTTAAAACAAATAAAGTTTAAGATCATTTTCAGACAGGTTCATTCAAGCCTCATAAATCACAAAATCGGGACTACCACATCCTGGGAACTTTCAAGTTCCTTGGTGTGCCCAAACTTAAGACCTGTGCAACCTGACAGGGGAACACCACCAAAGCCAGAAATCAGTTTTAAATTCTAATCTCTGAATAGTCCAGGTGTTCTGGATAGTTAGGATAATTTCATCTGTTACATAAGTTGATATATGTATTTTCATATAAGTTAAGATATGAAATATACTGGCACAGTTATACTATTGTAATAGTACCATGTTCTTCCACCTGGCCTATAAAAGTTTGATAATAAAACATCCAATACCTCCAAGAAAACGTTTGCTCAGACTGGAAAATTCCTCCTCAAAGTTTCTTCTGAACCCCACCTTAGTTGCTTAAGCATACGGGCTTTTATAGCCCCCACAAATAAAACAAGCCAGTGAAGACATCAGCTAAGAAATGTGCTCGCTGCCTCCAGTCCTCTGCGTGCACCATCTCCAACTGTCCTTGGTTGTCAATTCACCCCACTAACAGTTTCAAAGATATGAATGTTATTAAAGTCTCAAAGGTTTGAGATTTAGTTACTCCAAAACACTTATTCAGTCTCTCAATCCAGGGCCAGAAATAAAGCTGCACATATTAATTCTGTATTATTGTATAGCAAGTACATTTTTGTCAGTCGATAATAAGCTCTCAGTAATGTATACACTGAAGCGCCATATAGTCCACATTAATTAATCCAGCAGGGGAGTACAGGAAATACCACCTACTCTGCCACAGAAATGCCTGTTTACAAAGAAGTAAGGCAGATCATAATTTAGGTGGAGGAATGAAACTACTCCTTGTGCAGTCCAAGACACCATGCACATCAGAAGACAGTATCCACAGCCACACGGCGGAGAAAAGCACAAAGGCAAGCAGCTGAACACACAGGAAGTGAAGAGACCACTTAGATTTGATCTTTTCTTTAATTGCTAGAGAATGGTTTTCATTCCCTCTGCTTTATCTGTAACTTGGGATTATAACAGTGGTACATTTTGAATATTTTAAACACCGATTGTGATTCATTTTGGCTAAAAGGCAATTCCAGTTGCAGCAACGCAATTCTGCAAAGCCAATACCATCCACATAGCCTCAGCATCGATACACTTAACAGTGTCGTGGTTTAACCCCAGCCAGCAACTAAGCAGCACACAGCCGCTCACTCACTCCCCTCCCAACCCCAGTGGGATGGGGGAGAAAATCGGGAAAAGAAGTATAACTCATGGGTTGAGATAGGAACAGTTTAATAGAACAGAAAAGAAGAAACTAACAATGATAATGATAACACTAATAAAATGACAACAGCAATGATAAAAGGATTGGAATGTACAAATGATGCACAGTGCAATTGCTCGCCACCCACCAAATGACACCCAGCTAGTCCCCCAGCCACGATTCCCCTGCCCCCACTCGCCAGTTCCTATACTAGATGGGACATCCCATGGTATGGAATACCCCGTTGGCCAGTTTGGGTCAGCTGCCCTGGCTGTGTCCTGTGCCAACTTCTTGTGCCCCTCCAGCTTTCTCGCTGGCTGGGCATGAGAAGCTGAAAAATCCTTGACTTTAGTCTAAACACTACTTTAGCAACAACTGAAAACATCAGTGTTATCAACATTCTTCACATACTGAACTCAAAACATAGCACTGTACCAGCTACTAGGAAGACAGTTAACTCTATCCCAGCTGAAAATAGGACAACAGAAGAGCCCATTTCCCCAAGATGTTGCCCCAAAGCTGCACAGTCCCTTCTACAGAAGCTACCTGGGTCAGTCTGAGCGCTCACATGCCAGCAGGTAAAAAAGCAGCATGACAAAGTGACCAAAAAAACCCTAGTAATAACTTTTTGACCTGCTGAATGAAGTTCTGAGATTCCAAATAAAAACTTCTAAAGCGCCGGTATTACACTTTCTCAATTTGCCTTTTGACACACCGCCAATACGGATAACAGCTGAACAGCTTGACACCTGTATCTGCAAAAAAGATCCAATAAACTAAGTCCCTAAGCACAGTCACTGGGCAGTACCTCAATACTATTACACTATTACACAACTGAAAAAAGGTACAACTAAGGATTTAATACTTACCTTTAATTCTGGCTACAGATTTTTCTAGTGAATGTTAACAGTTTATCATCCTTTCTATACAAAGCATGAATAATCTCTGCATCATTCTCATCCTTGCTTGTCAGAATTTTATCTAGATGCAATACCTATATATAACCATTTTGAACTCAGCCATAGGCTGTCCCAGGATTACATGCATGGCAGAGCATGAAAGGCAAGAATTTAAATCTAAGGACTGTAAGTATTCTGGCTCTATGGTGGCAAGCTCCAACTAGGTAACAGTTCTAGTGAATGTCAAAGTTCAGCATTGTCTCTCACAGTGGAAGTCAAGCTGGATCTGGGAGAAAATCTCAAGTACTAATCTCATTCTTTTAATATTTAGATACACCGTTCATACTATTAAAGTTTACTTTGACATAAGACAGTCTATCCTATGTTTTTTTTGGTGCCTTTATTTATTTAATCAACAAATTAACATGAAGACTGCAGAATCAGTTTCACTATGACATAAACAGCTTCGAGTTAGCAAGAGAAAGATTTCTTACCCAAATGTCTTGTTTTTCACCAATTGGAAAATTTGAATACAAGTCTATCATTTCTGGTGTCCTGTACATTGGAGTTGTATTCCTTGTGATCTGCAGAAGACAGAATTTCTTGAAAGAGAAACTTGAATAATAAGCTCTAACAGCATTCAACCAAAGAAACTGCTATCCATTCTACATGGAGAGCTTTCTCACTTTGAAAATAAATTTCAGAAATACTTGTCAAGGCAGAAGCCATCAATTGAATCCTGTAGTAGTCACAGCAGCTTTGATATAAGGCCGGATAAAGACAGTAGTACTCAAATAACATTGTGATATTCAAGAGTCCTTCCAAACTGCAAAGCATGTAAAGTAAAACGACTGTTCTACAAAAGGCAAAAAGGGATATGGACACAAATACAGAAAATCAACAATAAACCAAAAAGTGAATTCATGCTCTAGTGTGTATTCTTCATTTCATCACACTTAATGACAGTGCAGACACATCCAAAGAGTTAAGCTATGTTCACAAGGATCCCTGAAGAAACCTTTTCTACTATCTTTTTGCATAGACTATACAAGACAGTGGTACAACATCTTTTCTTCTCCAGAAAACAAAGGATTGCTCTCCAAGGATGCTGGATTCCAGAACAGGGGGAGTTTACAGAGACTTGTGATACCAGAAGTTGAACACCCAAATTTTAAGTGTCACTGTATTTCTCCATACTTAAAGGTCTGAGTCCAGCTGATGTATTACATTAGATTTACCAGCATTACTCTCAACTCTAAACTAAGAATAAATGCACTTTGCAAAAACACACTGCGTGCTCAACACCATTACTGTAGTCCTAGCGGGACTGCAATACTGCCTATTCAAATTCTGCTGAGCAGACTTGCTACTTCTTTATATATCATTCAACTGAGAAAAACTGATGAGAAGGTGGGAATCACTTTGCCATAACCAATTTTTGACTTCCTGTTAAGAGCACAGTTAGAAGAAGCTCTAGTAATCACTTCTATTTTCACACCAGATTGCAGAATGGACTCCACTCCCAAGTTGAAGCAGTATTTGTATATGCAGCTACAAAACAGTGTTTGAACTCTGGCAACTTGAATACAAAAACAAAGCTTTACGAACACTACAACTGAAACAATCTTCAGTTCTCTTAGAAGACCCCTGAATCAATATTAGATTAATAGTGACAGTTAAACAAATCCACTTTTGATATAAAGATTAATCACATTAAAATAGTCTCACCTCTTCTTCAACCAGTGCTCTCTTTTGCGCAGACCAGTTGTAGTCAGGATAGTAAGCTATAGTTGTAGCACTACCAAAGTCACAAAGTTTAATCGTCCCTTGGTTACTAATAAGCAAGTTTTCCACCTTCAAAAAGAGGTAGAATAATAAATTAAAGATGTCTTTTCTGTACATTAACACACATGCTTTTAAACATCAACTCACTTGTGCATATATATAAAAAAATACTCACTTTAGCCCAGAATGTTGTTTACCGGAACACAAAGATTGGAGACAGTACTATAGATGTATATGGTAGAAATACAGCCAATTTTTAAAAGGAAGCACCAAAACCACTATGAGCAGGAAACATTCAAGAGAGCATAAAATAAACTCCAGGAAGAAAAATAATCTCATTAGTGCCTAAGAAGAGGCCAGTTTTTCCAGAGGACCACTTGCAAAAGCAGCATCTTGGAATCCAAATGTTTTCATGCTTAAAACTGAACACTTAGCTTAATTGCAGTGGAGTGGAGGTTAGGACTGCTGTAGACACAAAACAAGAAGGCACTACTAGAGAAGTAGGCTGCTGGGGGACACCCAGAAAGAGGCAGCCATGACACTGTGCAGAGACAGAAACCAGCTATTTGAGGACCATGTGCTGCCCAAATAGTTCATCGTCATCCCTCCCTTTTTCTACTTCATAAAGTCTAACCTTCCTGGATTGGGTAAGAAACTTAAGGGGAAGGTAGAAGTAGGTATTGGGCAGCAGTATTGTGAGGTCATAACCACAAAAGGGCTAAAAAAGAAAATTTGTTTCTCTGTATGAAGCCAGGAAAAGGTGTAAAAGTTAAGAGGCATATTAGTAACATTACAACACTACACTACAGATAACTACGTTTGTCTTCCCTTTCCCTTTGAAACCATATCTCTGGACTTCCTTCTGTAAAACCTTGGTTTTCAGAACATCCTACTAGCCTCCCTTACACAAGCCCCTTCCAACTTCTTCTGCTATAAAATGAATTTTGACTACCCTGCAGGAAGACATAAGCTCTGTTAATGATGTGATAAGAGTATCAATCTCAACAAGCAATCTGAATTCCCTTCTCTGTTGGATGACCTTTGCTTATCTCCATGTACAATAAGAACAGTGGGCATTCAACATCACATTAAATTTATACACTAAAAATAGTCACAGTAAGACCAGAGATCAAGCTTTTGTGCACACATGTTCTGGTTTTTGTGCACTGGTAAAGGTTGCTAATAACGTAAAACATTCCAGCTGATCATTCAGATTTTAACAGGCTCTATTACCTATGTTATGCAGACTAGCTGTGCGCTGCATGGCAAACCCCAAAAAGATCAAATTCAGACAACTGAAATACCAGAGCAGCACTGATATTTTACAAATCGCCGTCTATCTAGCTTAGAATTTCTACAACTCGGAAACTAGCTGGGTTCTTACAGTCCTATACATACACATAAGTGCAATCTTTGTCTAAAGGGGTTCAGGAGCAAAGAATGCACTACACTGACAAGCAAGAGAAGGAAACCACAGGAGGATAGAAACAGCCACCACTAAGAAGTTGAACTTGGTTTTAAGCTGCACTGTAAGTTCATGAATCCTTATATTTTTAGTCAAAATAATTGAGAAAAACCTGTTAGGACTCCACCCTACCACACCCTTCCCCAAATGCTACACTAGCATCTCAGGTCTCATTTGAGGTAGGCTCAAAATTTTGACCTACAGGTTTTTATGCTGCTGACCTAAGTTCAGCCCTCTGGAAAGGGCAGCAGTTAAATGAACCCTATTTGGCTCCAAATTGTAGTAAGGTCTCTGCCTGTTGCAGCACAACTATCATTTAATCTTGCTTTGCAGCCCCTGTAACATGAAACCAACATGAAACCAAATTCCTGCCTTTTCCCATATTTTATCCCTGCTGGGAACATATATGCCTTGACAAGAAAAAACAGACCTTGAATTACAGCATTAGCTCAACTTCAGTGGAGCTGGCTATGTAAGAAATTGTATATTTATTTGTAAACAGTTTTTACCCCCTTTTCAGAGAAGGGATGCACCTTTTCTACAAGTTTTTCCTAAGGGCTGGTGCATAGAAATTTCCATGAAGAATAAAAGATTTTATTCTAGAAAATAACAACAAGAAAGGTCTATCCCAGCTTGGTTAAAATTTCTTTGACATGACCTAGAAGCCTGCTCAATGGTACTGAGGAGAACAAAACAAAACAAAACAAGTGCTCCATCATCAAAACTACTTTTTATATTAAGGGGTTGTACTAGTGCCTAACATTAAAGCTTTTAACAACAGTGTTGAAAACACTTCGCACACATTTACTTTCCAAAAGTGGTTTAATTTTCCTTTCCCTGAAGTAATCAAGTACATGCTTACTTAAGGTGGAACAAATTTTCCTTTTTTTATATTCACCTAGTATCACATCAAGCAGAAAACAGACATATGCGTGAAATTCAGACACTGTTTCAGGAATAAGAATCTTCTTTCTCTTATTTTGTTTATGTTTATAGAGACCACCTCTTTCTACTAGGTTCAAATGTATTTGTAGTACAGCAGAATCTCACTGATGATTAGGGCTTGTTCAGCTAAGGTATAGCGTACATGTAAAGGTGAATCCCTGCTTTCAAAATACAAAATTCAAACACAGATGAAGTCCTTTCAAATCACCAAAGTTTCTAAGGGGACAACACTTTGTACAGCATAACCCTATAGCATCTTGGTAAAGGCTAACAGAACACAAAATCAAGAAACAAAAAATCTATCATTAATTATGCCTACCAAATTTTAAAATTCAAGTTAAAAACAAGCCCTAAAATGCAATACAAGTTGTTAGTTCTAAAACTAACAGCTTACTACACACTCAAAGGCTATGTAATCTTTTACAGAGAATCAAACATTACCTTGTCTTCTCATTCAAAGCTTTCTTTTCTATGTAGAAAACCTGCTCACCCCAAAACTGCAACTCACAAGTCGTAATTGGTTATTTTATCAAAAGCAAACTACTTAAAGACTAATTTAATCAGCAAACCATGATATACTGCTTTTCTGTCAGCTTGTTCAGATAGAGTACAAGTAGTACTAACCACAAGCACAAGGAAAAGATGTTGTTTGAAGAGATAAGTATTTCAGTGATGACCTTCACTGACATCCAGCAGCCTTGGCAAGGCAATACATGTAAGCACTACACTCAAGAGCATCCACTGTATTTGATCAACAGTCTTAACACTGATTCAGCCCCACAGGTTCCTTTGCTGTTTTAAATTCAGCCTTTATTTAAACATTGTAACACACCTTTAAATCTCTGTGGATAATAGGAGGCTTCTGTTTATGCATATGCTGCACTGCTCTGCAGGTCTGATAAAAGATCTTCAAAACTGTGTCACAGGAGATAGGTCCTCTGGATTCTACTTTCTTTAAGAATTCCACCAGCTGCCCTGCAGGAAATCAGAGAAATTCATATAAGCATACACAGAAGACCACAAATTCTGAGAGCTTGGCATGAACAGACAAACACTTTCTCTTTCAGGAAGATTTACAGTCTTGAGTTGTAGTATTAGGTGGATATTCTGCAAAGGGCAAATCCACACTGACCGCAGTGCCAAAGGAAATGGTGCTCTAAGGAACTATTCCTCCTCTTCCTTCCTCTGACTGTCTCAAACACAAAGAACTTAATGATTATCCCATATTTAAGATGAGGTTGAACTGTAGTCTCAAAGAACATGATCCTTATCCTATAAAAGATGAGGTTGAACTCTAGCTCCACTGAACTATGCTATCTTTAAGAGGCTTTCTAAGCTTCTAAGCTGTGAAGCAACCTGTGCAAAACAGCTGCCAAAAGCAATGCGCACTGCTGGGAAAAGAAAGACAGTTTACCTTTACACAGCTCTGTAAGCAGAAGAAACTCTCCCTGTCCTGTGTCTGATTCTTCTTTTCCTATAGATGCAGCAGAGCAGAACTGGACAATGTTGGGATGACCTGAAAGTTTTTTCTGGAGATAACATGTTCAAGGAAGACAACCACCAAGTTTATTGATGCTACTGTAACACGGCAGTTCACAGATATCTCATATGAAATGTTAGCTTAAAACAACAGAGAGCATTACAGCTGCAATTAAAATACTAAAAATCCATGCCTCAGCTAAAAAAAAAACAAACCAGACTTCAAGGGAAGCCACTGAAGGTAACGTAATAAAAATTCAAAATAAAGCATTAAAAAAAAAAACCACTTGTGATTAAGGCTCTGAAGAAACTGGACTTCAAAACAGGCCTAGTTACTTCTTTTTGTCTTTTGACAATGACTGCAAGGCATTAGCAGAAGTACCAGAGAGACCTTTTAATTATCAGCTGCTTCTCGAGCTGGCTGATCAAGAAAGGGCTATTGTATCAACACCTATCTTTCCAAAGCAAGTATTAAGTACGTTATGTTTCAATTTTTAGTAATTAAAATGAAGTTCAAAACAAATAAAAGCTCTAAAAGACAGAGGAACTTATCTACCCATTATTAGTAATAATTCTTCATAGTACAACCTTTGTCATGTTTCACTTCCATTTAAAAAATTCAAGGTATCATTTCTGAACTACATAAAGGCGAGTAAAATGTAAGTGATCTCAGTTCCTGCCAATTGAAGTTACATTGCATTATGCCTGTTTGTGTTAACCCTGATGTGCATCACCTTGGTCGTATACTGAGACTCATGCCTATGAGACAAACACACATTATTTAGAAGATGCATTCACCAAGTCTGAAAAGAAAAAAGCAAAGACATCCTAACTACAACAAACCTATTAAAAAAAAAAGGGCAAGTTGGATCCACGAAATTAGAATGAATCCTAAATACTATTTTATATCTTGTATCTTCACAACCTTTTACTCAGAGCTGCAGGAATTAATTTCATTTCGCAGTTATATCTTGGAAAGTTAGCAACTGTTAACTCTCATTCATGTTGTACATCTGCTTTAATGCACCTGAGCTGTGAAAAAACATCTAAAGAACATTCAGTTCTTTACTCTGGGCAAAATATGGTCAAGAGTAGCTAGAAAATACATAGTGCTATGGTAGTCCATTCTTTGCAAGTGTACTTCTAGTGAACAGTGTTTAGTGTAAGATTTTGCCAAACATTTTGGTAATCATGAAAAGAATTATCTGAGTAGCTTAAATTAAGATCAGTGGTTTTGCCTGGTAACTCAAAATTAAGCTGAATAATCAGAGTGGAAAACAAAACAACAGCATACCACAGCTACTCACTGACTCTTGAAACAAACTAAGGGTCTTAGAACAAATGCTGGGGAGCAAATACTGAGTTTACTAAAGCCAAAGACTGAAAACACTCTGAGATAACATTATACCCTACCATCTAACATCACTGAAGATGAAAAGGACAGCAACAACACTGAAAAATGTCTGCTGCTTGTTTGTGATGCATGTATTCTACTGAAATTCCTGCCTTAATATTCAGCATTACTTTTTAAAGTCAGACACATCTGAGGCAGAAATTAAGAAACATTGAGAGTAAAAACAAAATTTTGAGTAGTTAAAAAAGGAATAAATCCAGTGCATATAAGGGAAGGATACTTAAGATCTAAGTATCATCTGAATAGTCAAAAGGTCTCTTGACCACAGTCACAGGACTGCAAGAAAGCCCAAATAAGAATTTCACTTCTTGCTAGACAAAGTACATGACAAAGTCTATATTACTTACAGAAGTTATCTGCACACATTAAATTCCTGCAATTTTTGAAGAACTGAACTTGCTTGATGCCAGTGCCATATTCATGACAAACCAGGAACCCACACCTTCCTCAGAATGTCAGTCCTCTTAAGCAGGAAAGAGCTGAATCCATAGAGCAGTCCTGCATTTCTCAGAAATGTTTGATATCAGACAATTAAATCAAAACATTAAAATATGTTCCAGAAAAGGATACCATAAAGCAAACTTCCTGAATGATGGCTTTGTTCTTTTCTTCTTCATTAGATAGCAATCGCTGTCAGAAAACAGAATAATTGACAATATACAGTTATTAAAACTTACAGAAAAACAGTTCACAGGTATTTTTTTCTAGAACAGAAAGGATAAGCTACAGTCAAAAACCTAAGGAATTGTGATGGGGCAGTAAACAAAGTGGGCTTATTCTACATTTGGACATACTGCCATAAATAAAACACCAGATTTGCAGCTACCTGTACTGTTCAGGTTTAGTGACAACTGAGCAGTAGTAACCTTTGATACTCGTCAAGTAACTGTACTGACAGTTTTCTGTTGTATAAAACACTAAAGTCTCCTGGCTACAGCATTGCGCCTGACAAGGAAAGATTCATCTTCTGCCTCAAATCTTTAGGAACAACCTTCAATCCACTCCAACCAAAATTTCTCCAAATTATGTAGCCCAACTTTTTCAATGGTACCTGGGTAATCAGCAGCAAAATCAAGCATTACTATTTCCAGTATCACTTGGATTTGGAGTCAACACTTCACTAGAACCAATCTAAGCAGTTGCTACAAAGTACCAGTTTTATAAAACAGAGGAAGCACAGTAATGGTTCACCTTTTATCTGATATTTTCAAATGGGGCTACTTCTAGATGACATTTTGAACACATACTATATGGGTTTCGTCACATGTTTTGTTACTGTAGGATGTAGTATGAAAAGGAAAAAGACCAGACCAAGTAATTACTAGCGGTGTAATGCCATCTTACCTCTCCCACCCCTCATACTACATCCTTTTCACTTTCCAAGACAGACATCTTCATACTGATACAGCCATAGAACATCCCTACTCCAAAAATGAAGCCATCTTGCGGTGAACACAAGTGACATAATTTTTTTTGCAGCAAAATATGACAAAGTAAATTACCTCACTTTATTGTCCCTTCCATAACACTTCAGTTTTTCAGCTGTTAGATGATTATTATAAGTCTTCAGAAAACAAGAATCTAGAGGACCGTCTCTGAGAAGTGCCAGGCTGAATGTCTGATCAATGAGTCCAAGTGTGGAGCATTATTTTTAATACTGATAAAACCCACCTTGGAAATACAAAGGTAGGCTAACTGGTAGGCTAAATCTGCTCCTGAGGAGTGTAAATATTCCTGTACCCCACTTCAGGTAACTAGGAAAGATTCTTTTTAACCATGCAACAGAACGCTTGGGGGCAGGGTCATGAATTTCTAGACCAAATACAGGTAGCGTGGTACAAACACCACTTTATCATACTGGATTTTTCCAAATGACTTGTCAGTGGCATACATCAAGGATTAAGTGCCATCAAGCAAAAAGACAGACCTTTATATACCTGTAGTGAATTAAATTCACTTTACCTTTAAAGCATAATCTTTGCCACTTCCAAGGTCTTGAGCTTCATAGACAAAAGCAAAACCACCTACAAAAAAAGCAGATTAAGTCAGTTTTAATTTCAACATTCAGGCAAATAATTCTTTTTAATCTAACAGAGTTTGAATTTAGATACTTTCTGAATGTAAGAAGTATACATATTTTTCAGTGGCTTACCAAGAGTATGGGTAACCTACATACAAGAGCTAAAATACTCTCGTCCTTTCTTTTACACACACCAAAAGCACACCGAGTTTGTTACTTTCCTGCATTTTGTTAGTCTGCATATGCAGATTTCCTATGAAGCAATATTTTTTTTTTTAATGCAGGTCCTTATAAAACCAAGATCCAGTACAGCCAGTATTACCTAATGTTTTTAATTAAACTACTTCTTGGTTTTACACTGCTATGCTTCCTATAAAAATAGCAATAACCAAGGGGGACAAAATGTTAAACATACACCTCCTTATACTTTTAGAATAATTGCCATGCTTCAGGCTTCCTATTAAAAGCAGAAAGTGTTTTCAAGCACTGAAGCGCACACTTCCAATAAGGATGATGCTGTTACTAAATTGCAATTTGTCATTCCATACAACACTTTTCCTTCCAAATCCTTTTGTCAGAATATCTATTTCATCGAATACTACCAATATGCTCAAGAACATTGTACACATTTCTACAAAGTGAAAAAGACTGAGAAAAAGTTACAGGTCTGGTAAGTTTCCTCAATTGCTATATTATGTAATCTAACTGCATCAAAAGAACATATTTATACAGTTCTACTCCATTTTAAAGATACTGGTATCACTTCCATTTCTTCTGGGAATGTCGTCCTCATGGTTACACAAACAGTGTGGTTGCATATGTTGCTCTCCAACTATTGTAGAGTATCTCTAGTAGAGTAACAGCCAAAGTGACAAACTTCAATGATTTGCCTTTCTACTCCTATAATATAAATTCTGTATTCATTGAACTACATAGCAATGTTCTCTACAATGATTTGGAGAATAAGGACAGAAAACATTGGTGAACTACAAAATTTTACTGGTCAAAATGTCTAAGAATAGGATAACTAACAAATGAGCCACCACAGACAAAGAAACAAGTTGACAAGGCACTTTTTTTAAAAGATGCAGGATCCAAATCAGTATGGTCACATTAGTACCCAATACATTCTCTGTAGATGAGGAATATTAATATGAGGCTGAAGTGAACACAGTGTTTGCTTTGTGCAATTCAATCAAATACAAGGCTTTTCAAGAAGTACTCTGAAAAGTTTTACATGGCAATTAACCATCACAGTGTTCTCCAAGACTCCTGAATAGTACTGCCCACACATCTTGTTCCTTTGCCAGTAGCATCCACAACATGAAACAAATAAATGACAGGCTCCTGGATATTGCCTTTCCTTTTGGTATCTAAAGGGCAATTATACACAAAACCAGCAAAACCATGATCCCAGTTGCAGGGAGGACAAGCAAAGCAGAGTAACTAGTGCACCATAGAAGAGTTAAAGTCAATGAGAACACTGAAGACAACAGATAGCGAGCGCTGCAGTTCAGTCCCACCATACACTACCCATGTATGCATTGTGCTTATCCATTTACTTTGATTCATGCCGTAAAATCAGGTTTGGTACTTCCCACAACAGGAAGTTCCCTTAGCTTTTCTAAAGCCCCCAGTGCAAGTGTTCTGATCAGCAATTACAATCAGCATTTTGGGCACTGATGGGACAGGGGCTGGAGATAGAATGAAGTCCACACTTACCACCACCTTAAGAGTATTACCTGAAGACAGTTTCTGAATGAGAACATATGCAAGAACACATGGTTCTGGACAGTGCTAATCAGTTGTGACTACTGTTTACAGATTTCACGGAGCTGGTGAAACAAGCAAGAAAATCTGTGAGTCATGCTTCCACTGAAGCTGGGTGCTGGGAAACCATGGTTTTTGACTGCTCTTTCCAACCAGTTCCCTATTCATATCTAGAGGCATGTCCCAGGTTTCAGAGTCCACTGTTCCAGTGAGTTGCAAGCCCCTACACCAGTGTACAATCACTGGACCACACAGCTACTGCCTCCACGTTTTCACCCTACACAGATCCCACAGACATTCTACACAGTGAAAGTACTGCTGGCCCTACAGAAGAAAGCCTTTACATTCATCTTGATAAATATTTCTTTGATTTTATTCTAGTAACCCTGCAAGCCGCATCTTGAAAATATATGCTTCAATTTACAAAATGAGGGGCTTCAGCTCAGCACAAATTTCTAGAACATAAAATTACTGCACAGTTAGTTTTCTGTAAGGCACTCAAGCAAAATGGTGACAGAGGCACCACAGATTACAGAACAATTATTCTGCAAGCTCAGCTCAGCTGAGTACACTGCCAAGGCTTCTACCAGGGCTGGAATGGGGCAAGTGTACTTTGCATTTCAAGTATACACTTTGCTAGTACCTCTACAAACACAAATGTCCACAGACCTACATACATGCACTCCAAAACATAACTGTGCTTCATTCAAATGCATCAAATTGCCTCCTGGAAAGTATACAGGTGAAAGCACCTATGCATCAGAATTAACTCAAATCAATTCAATCCATCATTTTCAAGCATATATTTGATTAACAACCAAGCTGATCCAAACTCTGAAGAAGGCCCCTAGAAGCATTGCTACCTTTCCAACTATTTCAACGGGTCTGATAAGCTTTCCTGCAAGCTCTTCCTCCAACATAAGAAATGCTTACAATATAGACCAAGTTGCACATTATCACTAAGGTTAATCCTGTTGACAGTAAGTACAAAGGAGTAAAAGGAGGAATTAGTTTACCTGACTAAAGATTATATAGTAAGTCTTCAAAAAAGATATATTTCAAATTTTCACAGAAGTGCTGATCATCATAGTCCTCCAAAAACTCTAGACATATCCACCATTGCCCTAAAATTTTCTCTCTCAGTTCCCAAATAATCTTGAAATACATGCCTAAAACTGAACCACATTATGAAAACTATTCAAGTTCATTTTCTTGATGGAAAAGCCTTTTTTTTTTTAAACACTCAGAATCATGTTACTTTGTTGCATTTAAGTTAATCTCATTTCCAACCAAAAAAATTAGTTTCAGTCCTCTTAATTAGTATCTAGGAATCTGAAGAAATTTTATATTCAACTTCATAACTACTTCAAAACACATACTGCTTGTAAGTTTCAATACTCATGGAAAATCATAAATGTTCATTTTGGCCTAGCAGTACAAGTGAACATTTTAAGCAATGCAAGCCATTTAAAAATGATAAATTCCTGTTATCAACAGAAAGTTAATACAAGCTGTGCTTAGGTTAAAGCATAGCTATCTGACTTTAAGTGAAGTATAATTAACATTATCTGGAAATCTGGTGAAATCTGCATATGCAGTGTCCAAACTAAGACTTTGCTAAGGTCAAATTTAAAGCTGGCAGGACTCAACTTGTGTATTAGCAAAATGCTTGGTTTAATTACTACATTTTCACAGCACGGGTTAACAAAAGGAAAAGTAATGAAGGGAGTCTTCTTTAAGGCCATTTCAATGGTGGCATGACTTACCAGGCCCTGTGACCAATGTAGTTAGCAATATAATTTGCAAAAAAGAAAAAAAAAAAAGCAGTTTCACCTGTTTAACTACAGCCACACCGAGGATTTCAGTCAACACAGCCATGTCAGTCAAGGATCACACCCCCACATCAACACACCTGTATGATCAAACACCTGTATAGTAGACCCAACTGAGGCAAACAACAAAATTAAAGTTAAGAACAGAAAGACTGCTTTGGTTTCTTTCCTAGGGGCATAGAAAGAATGTAGTTTTATCTGGGGTGTTTTCACTCGTTATTTCCACCCATGGAAATATCTGTCAATGGTTTTAAGTCAGTTTTCTGAAGCTTTTTATATCAGCAAAATCATCTTAGTATTTCTCCATACAGGTTACCAGTGTGTATGTATGTACATACTTATACAAGCTCTTGCCCTGAGAGACTAGTTTTTCACTGCTGTAGCATTTCATAGTCCCATTTTCAGAACAAAGCCCAAGCTCTCAGAAAGGGTCTCAGATTATTATTTTTTGCCACAGAAATTATGGCAGAATGTCCTGGTTTCAGCTGGGATAGAGTTAATTGTCTTCCTAGTAGCTGGTATGGTGCTATGTTTTGAGTTCAGTATGTGAATGTTGATAACACACTGATGTTTTCAGTTGTTGCTAAGTAGCGTTTAGACTAAAGTCAAGGATTTTTCAGCTTCTCATGCCCAGCCAGCGAGAGAGCTGGAGGGGCACAAGAAGCTGGCACAGGACACAGCCAGGGCAGCTGACCCAAACTGGCCAACGGGTATTCCATACCATGGGATGTCCCATCTAGTATAGCAACTGGGAAGGGGGGGTGGGGGAATCACAGCTCAGGGACTAGCTGGGTGTCGAGCAATTGCACTGTGCATCATTTGTACATTCCAATACTTTTATTATTACTGTTGTCATTTTATTAGTGTTATCATTATTGGTTTCTTCTTTTCTGTTCTATTAAACCATTCTTATCTCGACCCACGAGTTTTACTTCTTTTCCCAATGGCGGGGGGGAGGGAGTGAGCAGCTGCGTGGTGCTTAGTTGCTGGCTGGGGTTAAACCATGACACAGAAGAAAACTGTTTTTCTTTTTCTGTAAACACAAACTTACACAGAAGAGGTTCACTACAGAGCACCACAACAACTCATGAAAATGGAGTAGCTGAAGTACAGCAGTCAGTCCTGGAATCAGTCTTGCCCCATAGCAGACTCAGAGAAACACAGTAGAGCACAAAGCTTACCAGCCTCACCTTCCTGGCCCACACTGAGACCACCTCATGACTTACTTTGCATTAAGAACTAACCCTACCTCATTTGCTTTAATAGCAAGCACTCTACACTTGTCTTTACACCACCACAGTCCACAGGCATTGGTCCTGTCAGTACTTCATCTTTTCCAGCCAAGAGATTTGCCTTCTCCCTCAAGTTAAACCTAGGCATCACGTAATATCGATTAAGTTCA